TATATATATATATATATATATATATATATATAATTATATTGTTATGATGTTTGAAATCAAAGCCAATTCCTTAATGGTACTATCTTCAATGAAAATCGAACAATAGAGCCTTAAGTACTAAAGTATATTGATTTTTGCATCGAATTAGGCTTAAAGATAAGTAATGACCTAAATTTAACTGTAGATGAAGCACGTGTATAATGCGTATTCTTCTATCAAATATCAAATTATATCGTTTGGCTCTAATCTCAGGATGTGGTCACTAGATTTAGTCTTACTACCTTGTACAGATGTTCAATATATTATTTTGTACACGATTTAGGGAAAATAAAGCTCCACCTTTTGGTTCAAATGCTTGCCGTCTAATTCCAAGGCCATGGCTTAAAATCCAGTATTCTTTACTTTATAAACAACTCCAGTCGTTATTCATTTTATCACACCAAACATACATTTGTCCGGTTGCGATTGCGGTTCCGTTTGCGGTGCGGTGCGTTTTAATCGATATAACTGTTTCAAACGAGAGTTATTCCATTGGTTGCGGTTGCGTTTAAAAACGCACGTGCATGGAATGGAAACGCAGCCAGACGGAACAGAAACCGCAACCGGATAAATGGATTTTCAGAATAGGGAAGCTGACGTTCAGCGCATTGGAAACGCGGTCTGAATTTCGGTTTGGATCCGGTGTGAATATAGCTTTAGTTTATAAAGCATCAGTTCTGTAAGTTCCTTGTTGCTGTATAATTTTTATGCTAACACTTACACTTTCAATAATAATATTTAAAAAAAACCCGAATAATATCCCAGGTTCTAAACAACCTAAACAACTATAATGTTATAGGAGTGATGTTTTGCCCTACATTTTTTCACACCGAATACTCAGTACGTTCCCAAATACTCGCGAAATTAAAAAAAATCGCGAGTGATTTGGGTGGAAATCGAACTTACGACCTCCAGATAACTAGCCTGGCGCTATAACCACTAGACCACCGAGCTTGCGCTTAGAGACTAGTGTTGAATCCGATTCCCCAAGTAGCAGTGGGTACTGCAAATGCTATTTCGATGTGAGTTTGTGTCAGAAAAATATCATAGGAGTGACATTTTGCACTACCTGACGCTGGTACTTGGGGATCGGATTGAAAACTACCGTAGTGACTACTATGCGCAAGCTCGGTAGCTCGGATTTTTCCCCACATCACACATTAGTGAAACCACAACACAGGCACGTCCAGGTCCTTGTTTATGAAATGATGAAATGAAATTAGTCTCATCGCAAGTCCTATTTCTAGGCCCCGCTTTCTGTTTATGAGCACGTACTGTGTCATAATAATTTCACATATTTCTTAGAATAGTTGTATTTATTTTACAAAACCACTGGAATAAAGTGCAATAATAGTTGCAGGGTACTATTAATTTTCAACATACTGTTCACTAAACTGTATTAATGGATACCTCACGACAGTGACGTAACGATGGGGGCCGGGGCCATGTGGCTTTTTTGACCAATTTTAATTTTCTTATTTTATTCTTATTTTACACAAATTTCAAAGATAGAAGATTATAATTGTATTATTGTTCTCATACACGCAAACTCTAAATGATCACATCTTTGGACTTACCTATTCTAGGAAAGCCATTCATAAAGTTATAGCTTATCATGTGATTTATATGTTATGAACTCAGTTGTTTATTTTCTCACCATGAGACGTATTTGGTGATGAGATCAGATGTACAGTAACTGTGTAGCCTAATTATAATATTAAAAATGATCAGCTCATTAAGCACGCATTTATTTTAAAAGGAAAAGTGACGTCATCAATGCATTATTTACAATTATTCTGTAACCAAGAAATAATAGAAGACTCTGTTCCAGTAGATTTGAAACTTCAATTTGAATGGAGTTCGATTATTTTCAATACATCGACAACTAATAGACACTGAAGGATATAAGATTAGAGGCTGCAGAAGTGACCATAGCAAAGATGGCTGTGTATCGAGTAACCCAGTTGCATAGAAGTAAACAAGATTTTTTTTCTAAATACATTTGGAAAAAAGAAACAACATAGGTTAGTTACGGTACATTTTGGTACATAATAGTAAAACCAAATGGCTGAATAACGTAAAAAAAAAGAAAATTGTGGGAAGTGATGACATCATTGATAGAAGATAGAACGGCGAAGACGTGCCAGTATCGGTAATCTAAACCTGCCTTTAGGTTTAGACAGAGAACATTCAACGTACGAGCATCGACAAAGTGTCTTGAATCACTAAAAAGCTTACATACCGTACTATCACAACATCGTTCGTTGCATATTTTGCTGGTATATCAAATGAAGAAGGTTAACTTAACTATTACATTGCAATAGAGCCTTATTGCATTTCTCGAAGAGACTAACAAGCCTTTAAAAACTCTTAAAACGCACCAAGTGTACATGTGCTTATATCTTGACTTGTAACAGAAGGTTTCTATAAATCTTGACTGATGGGTCGTAAAGAAGAAAGATCTAGAAAAAATGCAAAACAGCACATCTTGTCTCCTCTATATCCTCGCTAAATTCATAACATAATTCAACTGACTTTTTTTTTTTTAAGGGGGTTGTTCCTGAATTTTAAAAGATACTTGTTCTCATATTATATACCTTGTATTGCAGGCATCTGCTTTAACAAAGAATTATACTGTATTACACCAACTAAGAAAGCCACTTCATAATGTATGCAATTTTACAGTTCGATGATATAAATATGAAATAAAAATCTACATTAAATTAAACTCATCCTTTTACGATAACAGCAGCATAGTTTAGTTGGCAAATCCGGTGGTAGCAGACAGGTATGCCCTGAAACGTAAAGATGCTTACATATTGGTTCCATCGCTGCAGGGTGTCCTTTTTGTACTTCAGGTATAGGTTTGAACTGCATGTTGTGATGATGATGATAATGATGATAATAATAATACTAATAATAATAATAATAATAATAATAATAATAATAATAATAATAATAACAATCAGGGCAGCTTAGCTAAAAATGAACATTATCAGAGATAACACAACTCCCTCCCGCAAAACTACACAGGAAATGGAGAATGGACGTTGTGGGCTGAAAGCAAAGCATACATTTGTCTGCGATAACTCCCGCTTCCCAAAAAGACCACACATATAACAACGATTTTGTCACCGCGACTGAACTGCGTCCTCTGATCTTTTGTTTGCTCACACACAGTCAACCCTCACCAGAGACAAATTAAAAATTAAAGAATTTTATCTTCCATGCTTTAAGTGGCGGCCCCGCGCCGTTGAATGTGAATTAAAATAAATACAATAAATACCTCTCCTCTCCCCGCCTCACACTAAAACATGTTTTGTCCTCTTGTGAACTGAAAGTACAATGAATAGCCCCTTAACAACTTGCACATTAAGAACTTAATCATTTTTCTCTCCAATTCATAATAAATGATTTCCAAAATTTGTCGAAAATATCATTAACATTATCATTATAATTAGAATTTACATTCCCCCAAGAACAATACTGTATTAAATTTTTCTGGAGAACACTCACATACATTTAGGTAATCAATAACGATTAACTTACTTTCTAAATCATGATATCCTTCAATTCAAGTGGCATTTAGTGGATTATATGTGTATGAAAAATGTTAAATCTTCAACACCATTATTACTTATTTGGCAAGTGCCATCATTGTTGGTACCAATCAATAGGTCTGGTGACTTAATGGAAAAGCATTTCACCTAAGTTTGAATTGTAGGCTTGCACACAAAAATATCTGTCTGGCCATGTAAATATTTTGCCATACTCGTATTGCACTTGACGGATGAGTATTCTAAAGTGGTACTTTTTTTTTTAGCATTTCAGTTTTCCCAAAAAGAAATATTTGAATCATGAACCCAGCATGAGTCAGGTGCATCTCAAAACACAAATTTTTAAAACTATTGTCCAATGTTATCGGTATACGTCTTATTTAAACTAGAAAACAGTTTATAGCTGCTTTGCTCAACATTTTAAAATTTTGGGATGTATTAAGCATACATTTGTAGTAGTGCATTGGAGTCTTTCGGAGGAGTCGTCTTAAGATCAACTCAGACAGCGACGTGCGACGCAGCCCGACGCGATTCATCATCGGGGACAGTCTTAAGCCGTCGTGAGAAATACTAAACATGTTAAAGCTTGTTTCCCACTGGGTGTCTGTAAAACGATCTTAAGTATTTCTTGATATTCCTCATTTTATTCCGATGAAATAATGAAATAGGTAATATTCTGTGACAGCCTGGTGTATTATCATTGAATAGTCTAGGATCGACTAAGACTTGTATGCACTTAATTTAGGAGAGAACATCTCATCTGTTATAGACTAAAAAGTCTATATAACCCAGGAACAACATGGGTTGTGTGCAAAAATCGCTATCCGGGACAAACAGACCGAAAATGACGACCACCTATTTTTAAATGACACGCCCCTTTTTCATAGGAAATGCTACTTTCAACAGTAGGCTAGACATTATGAACATTGAAAAACAAGGGTTTTCTTTTATAAAAGAACACGAAGGGATCAAATTTCAGAAATCTCACCTTAATCACAAGTCCTGTTCATATGAAAATTAGCTTAAAAATGCAACATGGGGAATACTCCCCCTTTTTACTGGAAGCGCTACGGTACTTTAAATAGTAGGCTAGACAATTTGAACATAGTGCAAACAAGGGTTTTTCTTTTATAAATGAACACATATGATGAGGGGATAACATTTCAGAAATCACACCGCGATGTGGTCATTTTCGGGCTGTTTGTCCCGGATAGAGATTTTGGCACACATCCCATGTTGTTCCTAGGGCTCATATTAGTCTATAACAATTGAGATATTTTCTCCTTAATTAATTGCATACAAGTCTTAGTCAGGTCGTCTACTAAAAATAAAAGAGAAAAAATAGGGGTCTTCGTTTTGGGGTCTTCGGTCTTCGTTTTATAGACACCCGGTTTCCGGCAACACAACGTACGCAGCTCAACGTAGAGAAATGTTCCTCCAACAATTTCGTATCCCCCTCCTATACGGAAAGTTGAATTTGCACTTCTTACGTGACGCAACGTAACAACGTAACAAAAACGGTTCCCACTTGTCGCCGTGCGAACGCAATCATATTCGCGGTAAGCCTATCAAAACCGGTATGAAATTATCATTCATTGTAGGGCTATCAATGGTGTAGAGTAAGGACCGGGTTGTGTTCTGAATATTACTTCTCTTTAGGATAATGATTTTAAGCTTAACTGATTAGAAAAGCCTACCCTGAAGAAAAAAAATTATTATAATACATCAACAATTACAAATAAGCCTCTAGATTAGGCCAAGTCCGTTTAATAAATGTTCACACTTATTTAATTAGGAACATACATAATCTAATTATACTGCGCTTAGGCCTTATTAAAAGGTAATGTTTTATTGTATTAATTTGGCATAATAAATTGCATATTTAGCTATAGTACATTGTTTGCTTAGTATAATTACAAATTGTATGAAATTTTCATATTTTGGAAAACATATGGTTGAAATTTTGTTTATGTAAATCTGTACAAGTAAATAGGCCTATATTTCCATAACAGGTGATTAAATACTGAACATTATTATAACAATCAAAATAAAATAAGCTAAAATGAGTATCAAAATGGTGCTAGACTAGACAAATTGAAATCAATGTAATATAAAAATAATTTCTGAAGAACGGTTTACAGGTGAAGATGCATTGCAAAATATGAATGTTACATTATATATATACTGTATATATATGTATATATGTATATATGAATGTATATTCAATTTCAAATTTCAGAGTGATTGCAATTGACCATAATGCCAATTGGAGCGACAAAAATCGCAAAGATAAAGAGAATCACTGGGAACTTTTACTTAAAACCACCACACCATTTGGACTCAATATAGTGTTGTCCGAAAGCTCTGGTTCTATTTCTGGCTGTTTACTTACGTTTACTTTTTAGCTGTTGCTTATCATTTTTGTATCTCTACTGAGATCCAGCCATTGTTTCCCACAGCATTGTTGTTTTCCAGTATTTTGCCTTTTTATTTATATATATATATATATATATATATATACCATGCATAGTAAAGAGCACTGTCACAGTGGCTCTATAATCTGGTACGACGTTGACGTTGAATGGTGACGAGGGGTTGGTGGTGGTGGTGATACGAAGACGATGATAATAAAAACAGTAATATTATCAACAACGTCATTGATAACAACCAATAATGATAATTATTATTTAATTTGCAATTGCTAGGGCGACAAACGCCGAAAACGTAGGGATGTCCTTTACTGTGTACTTCCCAATGTACCACCAGAAGAACACACTACAAAATGTCTTTAGACTTCTTCGGTTATTGTGGTGAGTTTCAAGAAATTCAAATCCAATTAGTGCTACGATATCATAGGTTACCACAACAGTATGCCACACTGACCAAGAAGCTATTAATTCTACACAGACAAAGTAATCAATTTAAACTAAATTAGCATATCACACTTAAATTGACTGAATGGATCATCTAGGCCTAAATAATATTGATTTAAGCCTATTAAGGTCAATTGAAACTATCCAATGACGTGTGATATATGAAATACGATCGTAGACGCGGTCTTAACACTTGTATTTTCTTTCATTATGTTCAAAGTCTCGTTGTCCATATAAAACAGCTTCTGGTGTTACATTATGTATTACTTCCTTCAGGGAATGGGGAAAGTTGCTCGTTTTACAAGTTTTTTCAATATAATATACAATGACCATGGCTAATATCGTTGGGCTATAATTCAGCTTATTATGTATCCTTTTGTTAACTTTAAGTGATACAGCATTATTATTTTAATGTGTGCACAGTATTATTTTCCTTATTAATATTGTTGGTTATAAGAGGGAAGCTTATTTCACAGTTCTTGAAACAGGTATCTGTCTTATACATCCTCCGTCTCTTTTTTTTTAGTTTCCTATTAATATATGTTTATATATCACAATCATATTTATAGATCTCAAAATACGCGTGTCAACATGCAGACCTGAATGGGTTCCTGCCCGTTGCCAACAGGCCAGTTTCCACCAGGCCTTTTGTTACCCAGCCACTTTGTCATTCGGCCAGGCCACAACAAAATAAGTAGGCTTACGCAAATAATAAACAAATAGTTTAGATGCTGATTTCTGCTAGAATGTCAACAAATCAAGCCGGCAGGCTTTTCACCTGAAATTACAGGTACACGATACGGCAATATTTAGTTTTTCATCATTAATGTTTGTCAGCCTATAATTTCAGAGTCAGGACTATTAGTTAAGATCACAGTTTCAAGAAATAAAGAAACATTTTTCATAAATACGTAAAAAAAATATTTATAAACAGGAATTTAAAATAAGGAAGAATAATAACACAAGTTATGCACACACATTAAAGCGCATTCAATAAATTAGCGAAAAGGGGAAAAGCCTGTAGTTTGTTAAAGTTAGTCCTATAAAAAGAAGAAGCAATATACTTCACTTTCGCCTTAAAGTATTCTAGAGGTACAGTAGTGGTTAGTCTTAACAAATAATCAACAAGTAATGGAGAGCACTCGGAGTCGAACTTCAAAGATGTTATTTTATTGACACGAGCTTTCGCTGGCAGTCAATCAGGAGAGCTATACTGTACTTCCAATTTTTAATCACACAAGATATTATGCCATTTGAATAAAACTCACCACTGAAAGCGTGTTAATGTTACAGCAAGGTATTCATGCTTATCCCACACATCAACGTTACGTTTACGCAGTCGTTTTCTTGGATCTTACAAACCATGTCCAAGAGGAAATGTTTAGCACGACTTCCAATTTAAAATTCAACACAATTTTGAACTTACCTTGCCATTGTAAGTTTCATTGGCCCAGTAAATCGCAGTATCCTGAATGTCTAAGTAACCATGCTTATATGAGCCAACTTCGACCAATTCAACTCCTTCATCTAACTGTTTACCATTTAAGATGATGTACGACGGCGCTGTTTGTCTATTTTCTAAAAACTGAAACGTAGATCCGTTGTTATCGGTGAAATTTACTTTCTCCAAATAAGTCACAAGTTGCCATCTTTCTAGGTTATTTATATCAGGGCAGTCACCACCGTCTAAAAGCCCCTTTCCATCGTTGCATTCCTGGATATCCTTAAGTGCCTGTGCAATAGCATATACGGCAATGTACGTTGTGTACGCCTCGTAGTTCGTAGCGTAATATAAATATTCTTTTGCAGCTAATTCGATGAGAGTGATGGTCTTATTGTCGACGTCTTCCTTGCACAATATCTCGTCACTGCAATTTGGTATCGTTATGGATTGATTATCACACATCCATTTGACGAAACTGTCGAGGAACTGTATGCTGTTGTGCTTCCGAATTGTATCGTATTTAGAAAGATGGTCGACAAGATAAGGAAGTGGTTTATCGCTAATAGTTACTCCAAGCACTGACGCCACACATTTGTATTTGTAAAAGTATCTAGACAAATCTGCCCAACCGTCTGTTGCTATCCAAACCTTTGCTATGAATCAAAATAATAAATATAATTATTTTTGTAAGTTCGCACCATATAAAAAGTTCAGAAATTATATTGATAATTATATTTGCCTATACATATTAAATGATATGTTAATTGGACATAATCTTCGCATATAATATGAATTGCAAATGTATAAAGTACCGTAGGACTATTTATGCATTCATGATTTGAAAATTAATATTATTCTACATTTTTGAAGAAAATAATAACCGGTACACAATTGCACAAAATATTATGTTATCATGTAAACATGTTAATTTAATTGTATCAGTCAGTATCTATATAAAAATCATATGAATAGTCGAAGATACTGTGAAGGTTAAGCTCAGTCAATAAAAATCATTGGTATGGCTAAGTAGCCACAGTAAATTGATTAATTAAAACATCCCCCCAGCCAACGATCATGTAATTTATTCATTCATCATTCGATTGATCCATCTATCAGTCAATCAATCAATCAACAAATCAATTATTTTATTATTTAATTATTTATATCATTTATATAATCTTTTCTTTGCAGATATAAAGTGCTTCTTTTTCCCTGGTCATTGGGTCCATATGCTAAAATGTTGCTGCTGGTAATCAGCGCAGGAGCAACCAAGTCCACCAGGTACCCATATAGGCCTACTCCTGGATGGAGAGAAGTAATGCAGTTAAAGTACCTTGCCAAGGGCACAAGCGAAATGTACAGCGATGGATTTAAACCCCGTGCGCCAAACCGACAAATGAATCAATCACCGACCGACCGATCGATCTGTAGGTAAGACGGTTGATCGGTATTAGTCAATAAATTAATCAGTCAACCAATCACTCACTCAATCAATTAACCATTCCATTAAACAATTAATTCGTAGCAAAACTTTAAAATATATCTAAAAAAAACACCATAACATTATCATTAATCATCATCGCCATTCTGCTTAAAGCAGCAGGTCCTTGTTTCCTACATTCAGTGCGATCTTGTGTCTTTCACGTTACTGCAGCACAGCCATCCAATTTTAAATCATCTATAGAGTAATCCTTTCTTCTGCTACCCTTCTTCGCTTCCCTTTCAATGATTAGTAGAAATAAAGTAAAACAGCAACAATAATAATGATAATAATAATAATAATAATAATAATAATAATAATAATAATAATAATATAATTACTATATTATTAATATTATTACTATTATTATCATTAATATAAATAATTAAACACTACTCTTTCTTTCACATTATGCGTCTTACCAAATCTTCGTCATTTGTAACAATTAATTGCTATATGGAATTGATTCTTGGGTAAATAATTTGATTATCTTTTGTTTCTCTACCATGTGATTTTATAATGTACAGTGTTCTGACACCTCCTGTGTCATTTATCGATTTTTTTTCGAGCTGGAGTATCTTCATGTAATCTAAAGTAGGTGCGAATATCTTTAAAGTCGTTGCATTTGAATTACTGTATTATGCTACTCCATTCTGTTTCATTCATCCGTGTATACCGTACATTTTCTGGTTCGTGATTTCATTACACCCCTTAAAAACAAAAAGCCGTCTATTGACTTTACAGTACGCAAAGTCCACAATTATACATGTACATTCGTATGGTGACATACAGGTTGAAGAAACTCAATCTGAGAAATGATAGCTTTCTGTTGTAAATTATGTGCATGAACTTTGAGGAAACGTTCCTGTGTAATAATACATGTTTTACTTACTGTACCTGGCTCCCAAGATATTTGCAAACTTAACCATTTATCACTTTATGTCCTAAATGCTCCTCTTCTTTGATTCATTTATATTCAGGTTATTGCAATAAAGCCTGTCGGACTTTTTTTCAGCTCATCTATGTACACTTGGATGTTATAAATTAAATATCGCCATTATAATAGACGGTAATGACATGTGAGTTGGTGTTAAATTGTTTGTTTAACAATGGTCATTATATAGCCAAGTATGTCATGAACATCATTATTATTATGAATTATTTCGTTACCAACTCTAACCTTTAGGAAGTAGGCCTAACCTTCTTTCTCTAACGCGTTCACTTTTACTGGTTCGAATTTCTTTCTAACACCCCAAACGCGTCAATCATGTCTAAATCCAGGCGAGTGAAGCCTACAATTACGGAATAATATCTAGGCCTATTTGTGTTTACTGCTCACAATTTGCAATTAGTTTGCTCTATTACAGTCAATACCGGTATCATGTTTGGTTAATAACAATGTATACTAAAATATTTATAATACGTCAGCTGTTCCTTTTTACATGTGCGACTGAAAGTCTCACTGCATTATAAACGATGTTTTTTTTATATTTTTAACTTAGCTGAAAATAGTCCGACAACATAATGCCAGTAAATCCGGCTTCGGAATTAAAAACCGTGGTTTCATTTTTGACTGTCATGTTTAGGGGCCGCTACAAGCAACAGGAATCAGTCCATAATGTTTTGTTTTTTTTGCACAGTAATGACATTTTTGTCGCTTAGAAAGCTTTCACCAGATTGAGAGATTAATCATCTATGGACATACATGAACCATTCACATTGGTAGTACATGACAAATTGTCTGTCTATTAACAATCTGGTATTAAACCTAAAACCAAAAGAGAAATACAGTGGGTCTAACGGAAAAAATAAACATTAATGACATAATAATATGAATGTGATCAGAATCCATTTATACCTCCATGGTAAAATCCAATTAGAAGTTAAAAGTACTTTTAAGAGCATAAAGTGTAACAACTTAAAGCAAAGCCGACACTATCTAGGCCTACATGCAACCCTTGCGTAGGCCAAGAACTATCGCCGGCCTCGTGGCTTTGTCAATACGGGACTGGGACATTTACAAACCTTCATATCAGGCGTCTTTTTAAAGTCATAATGTAAATCTTACACGTCACATTCCCTCCTCTATTTGTGAAGTTCAGCTTACCAACTAGTACATTGATAAATTTAGTTATTAGGTTTCAATTAAAAATTAGAGCAAGAAACTGTTTTCCTCGCCTGTTAAAAGACGCTAATAGCGTTTTTTTATTCTTTGCATAGCGTTACAGTGCCTTATTGATAATTGGACGCGCATATTATGGTGGGCATTATTTATGCTTGATTTATGAATTCCATAAGGGATCACATGCATGTTTACAATTCTATTGACTATGTTTATACCAAACGCTTTGAAATCAAACAAAAAGTCCGTAACACTTGTGATTTTACGAACTAACACAATCTAATTTGATTGTGTTAGCTATTTTTTTTTGCTTTTGTGTGTGTGTGTGTTTTTTTTGTTTTTTTTTTTAGCTTCAGTATAGCGGGCATAAATGAGAATGAAGAGTGAAGAAAGAGAATGTTTAAGGTAACATGGAGGGACAGGCTGTCGAATATGAAGATTTTCAACAGATGTAAATATCAACCGAGCCTGTTAAAAGAGATTAAGATATGAAATATCTTGGTCACACAATTAGGAGTGGTGAAATACAACTGCTGACACAATGTGGAAAATAGAAGGAAGACGAATTCGTGGTCGTCAACGCTTGCCATCCCTCTGCTATCAATAACACACAGGAAACTTTAGAGAATAATGGTCATTAGACATGATACTAGAAGAAGACATAGCTGGCATGGCAACTGGTTATTAGAAGGTTTGTGTCCTAATGCTTGTATTTTATGCTTATAAGGTTTACAGAATTATTCTTGCAATGGATACTGTATAGCAATATTTAAACTTAACACAAATTTTACACATTCACCTAACCCACTCCTTTAAGAAGTGACACCTCAGCGTATGTTTAGCGATAACAATTATAGTGTATTGAACTAGCAGAGGGAGGTAGCTACAACATTCATTACATGACGCCGTCACTCGCGTATTGTCATCAATGTTCGTCGTTAGTGATTAATTGATTGAAGTCACCAGGTTCCAGAGTGGCTCATTAAATCTAGCTATCACGTTAAGCGACATGCTTAGTGTCAGATTCACTGTTAAAAATCATCGCGACCAAAGCTGAGTGTCAGTAAAGCCTTATTTTCATAAAATCGCTACAGACTCTCACCCAATAGCTTTCGGTGACGCTGATTGGTCGGGCGAATCAGGGCGTCTTCGGGATAGCGTCAAAGATAGCTGCACAGTAACGATAAAGAGGCTGAGCGGCAGTGTAGTAAGTTTGTGGAACCAGGTTTTGATTTGCTCAACTCAGCACTAAAGGATTTAATCAATCAATCAACTTTTATTTAACAAATGACATTTGTATTAAGCTTATTTTAGTCAACAGAAACAAAGCAAAGCAAAGATTATAAATAGGGTGCCAGACGTCATGAGTCCTCATCCCAGTACTAAGTTGGTATGTTGAAAAATGACAATAAAAGAATATGCCTTCCGAAATACTAAGGAAAAAGAAGAATACAATAAAAGCATGAAATCAAATTTTATATAAAAATGGTATAAATAAATGCTTTTTGCATATCACTCATCACTGACTATCACTGCGTTATATCTGTACAAGATATAATAATGTCAGTACCTTATTTTTGTTTTTGTTTTTGTTTCTTTTTTTTTTTTTTTTTTTTTACAATAAAATTATTTATTTTACAATAAAATTATTTATACCGGTATGCGTATATTGACAATGACACCAATGTTGAAATACAGTACAACTGTAAAATTAATAATTATAACAAACCTAATGTATCCATATATTTTACAATTGACTTAAATACAGCCCATAGATTTGTACAAGTAGGCTTTTTAAATTCAGTTAATATTTTTATTTCATAAACTGAATAAGTAGCAATCGTATATAATTTGTTTTTTATGTCACACTCACATCCCAGCAGGAGCTCTTTAAGAGAACTTTTACTATTATCAATTTTTTTTAATATTTTATCAATTTTTTCCATAATATATTGTTACGTGGACATTCAAAAAACATATTTTTCTTATCTTTTATGGCATCACAATTATTACATTTGCATGTACTTTTACTTTTTCTTTAAAAAACATTT